TTTTACTGAAAAAAATACATAGCTGAGCATTTGCCGAGTCAATAAAAAGAATAAAGCCTTAACATGTGAGTTCATCTCATCACCGTTTAGTGTTTCCCAGACCTATGGTTTCCGCTTGCCCTGTGTGCTTTTTGAAATCCGTCCTCCTCAGTGCAGTTTTGTTTCTTTCCAGTTTTATTACAAAAGCAGGAGTTGTTTTTCATGCTCCCATCTAAAATGAAATCGTGTGAGGTTTCAGACTAGCACATATGTTAAATTACACAAGCCGTTCCTATTAATATTTTAGTGTTCATCTTATGTTTCATATCCAAAGCATGCCCTGCTTCTCAATCCTTTCTAGTCAGCTGTTGCCTTTCTGTTGCTGTAAAACATATTAATAATGATGTGAACTTTAGCTAATTGTGGTTCTGATAGTATTAACAGCCAGCTTAGTGGAAAAATAACTGCATGCTCTGGCATTTAACACAGCAGCTGAGTAGAGGATTTTGAGAAACTAATTTTGATTTATTTTAGCCATAAGAATTAATGTAGAAGTTAAATACTTCTTTTTGTGGTCTAATTAGCTATGTAACTTTCACTCAGCTTTCTGTTCTACCCCCGTCCTTCCTATGTAGCATCACTGATCAAGCTGTATTGTTCACTTCTCAAATAACCCTGGTAAGGTTTGGAAATTCCCTAGTAAGGAATAGATTTCATCCACCTTCTTACGTGAGTAGTGCTAAATCAGGGTCTTAATGCATGAGATGAGAAAAATCAGCATAAGGTTTGTAACAGAGAAGATCCAAGGCTTGTATGGGATTCAAGGATTGACCAAATGATACAGTGGTACAGTTTACTGGGGATGGAAGAGAACAGAAATAAAAGCCAGATCAGCTGCAATGATTTCCTAAGGTGTCACTAAGTGAGAAGCCCTTGGGCTGTGCGAGGCACCGCACGAAACATTCTCCCTCCTGCGTTACTTATTGAGCAGTTACAGCATAGAAAAAAAAAAGCTGATGTTATTGTACTGTTCAGGGGAGGAGAGGGTTAGTCACGCTCTCTCCCTAGCTTTACTTCAGCCCTTTGACAAAAATAGGAAAAATGATAATTATTTTTAAGGGGCTTTCTGCAGAATGATTTCCTGTTGAGTCCCACCACTGCTTTCTTATTGCAAGCCACTTCCTACTGCATCCTAGCATATTTCTTAGCTGTTGAGATATATTATTTCAGCTAAGAATCAGACATAGAAATTGTAAATTATTCTACTTGCAAGATGATAGAGCACCCCTGGGTGTTTTGTTTTAAACTTACTTATACACCGTACATGGTGCTAAGGGATCAGTGTAGGAAGGAGCTTTTGAAGGTGTGTTTGTGAGGAAGACGTGCAAGGGCCAAGGGGAAGGAAGGGTGTAGTCACAGCCGTGGTTTCCACACATCCCTCCCTCATCCTTCTGGTCTGAAAGAAGGTGGTGTGAGAGAACAGGGTCTGAGTGAGTCAGATGCTGGACTGGCCCTTTGGGGCTGAAAAAAAGCCAAAAGAACTTTGCTTAATATTCTGATGGAAGGTGGTAGGTTGGCTTATTTGAAGACCTGAAAGTGTTGCATAAAAACACTTTAATTTGGGCATTGGACAACTAAGTTTTTTTAATTGTCCAGCACTTTTTAGGGTGGGCGGGTAGAAGACAGGGGAGAAAGCTAGTGAGTTTTGCCCATCTGCTGTTCTGTGAAGGAGGGGAACATCCTGGAGTCATTGAGTGGTGAGAAAATTACTCTAACAAACAGCTCCTCTGTTATGTGCTTGCTCTTCAGAAGAAACACAAGAGGACACTCAGCTGAACATAACACTGAGATTCAACCCAGCCCCTGTTTTTCCATTGTCCAAAGCAACATGTAAAAGGAAAAAAAAGAAAAACAAACCAACAAACCACTCCCCATCCCGGCTTTTAAAAGGCAGGCAGTTCAGCTGAAGATGCGGTACCAGTTTCTAAAACTTTGCCACTTATTTACAATTTTGCCTAGTGATTTAGTTACAAAGAGCTGAACTACAGTGCACCTAGGTGAGCTCTGGCAGGGGGTGGAAATGCCAAGAGTTTTCCACTTGCTCCTCAGTCCCTTCTCCACAGGTGAGTGAGCACAGCGGCTGCTCCCTCCAGACCAGCAATTCTGCAGGT